CGCCGCCGTCTTCGCCCCCCCGTCGCGGTGCAGCTCCAGGCGGCGGCGGCCTCCTCGAAGCAAGGCGCGTGTGCACGGGGAGGGAGGCGAGTGTGCAGGGCGAGGGAGGCGCCTCAGCTGCCGCGCCGAGCAGCCGCAGCTGCGCCCGCTCCTGCTGCAGCAGCGCGGAGAGAGACGCCTCGGGCAAGCAAGCGCCGAGCCGGGCCAGCACGCCGCTCCGCTCGCTGCGCATCGCCGACACGCGCTCCTGCAGCAGCTCGACCTGCTCGAGCAGCGCCGCGCCGCTCGGGCGCAGCCCCTCCCATCCGCACCTTCGAGAGATGGGGAGACGTGGTGAGAGATGGGGAGAGGAGGCCGCAGCCCCTCCCAGCTGCACCGCGACGCGACGGCGAAGACAGCGGCGCCGCGCCGCTGCCTTCCCGCGAGCTCGCCGAGCATCGCGTCGCCGAGCCCGACCGCAGCCTCGAGCAGCGACACCACCGCGCGCGCCCTCACCACGGCTGCACGCCGCCGCTCTACAGCAACCTCTACCTCCTCCACGGCGCGCGCAGCCTCGGCGGCGGCCGCCGTCGCAGCAGCAGTGGCAGCGGCGGTGGCAGCGGCGGTGGCAGCAGCGGCGACGGCAACGGCAGGAGAGGCCGAAGCAGTGGCGGCGGCGCAAGCCTCCCCAGCCGCTACCGGCTCGGCCCTTGCTCCTTGGGCGTCCGGCTGCGGCCTCGTCTCTGCGTCCCAAGCCACCTCCGCCGCCAGTCGCGGCAGCGGGTGCAGCGACGCCGCCGGGACGCCCCCCGCGACGGTCTCGGCAGCCGTCGCCTTCGCGCGAGCCGCCGCGAGCAAATGCACCGCCGCCGCCTTGTGCCGGCTGAGCGCGTCGATGGTTTTGCTGGCGGCGAAGTTTGCGCGCACAGCCTCGCGAGAGAGGATGAGCGCCTGCGCCCCGGGTCCGAGAGGGCTCAGGACGGGTCCGAGAGGGCTCAGGGGGAGAAAGCTCTTCAAGGGACGTCGCACGAGAAGCCTGAGAGCGCGCCGCGTCGAGCCGCTACAGCTCTCGGCTTATCTCGGCTGCATCTAGGCTATATCTCGGCGATATCTCGGCGATATCTCGGCTGTATCTCGCCGCGTCGAGCCGCGCGCCACCGCGTGCGTGCAGCGTGTCCCAGACCTAATTAGTTATTAATTAACTGTTAATTAGGTGCTGTATCTCGCCACCACGCGCGTGCAGCGTGTCCCAGACCTGCTCCGCCCGCTCGGCGAGGAGCTTGCCCAGCCAGCACCTAATTAGTTATTAATTAACTGTTAATTAACTGTTAATTGTAGCTCGGCGAGGAGCTTGCCCAGCCAGCACCTAATTAGTTATTACTTAACTGTTAATTAACTGTTAAATTGTAGCTCGGCGAGCAGCTTGCCCAGCCAGCACCGGCCCGCGACCCAGCACGAGAGGAGCTGCAGCGCCTGCGCGACCGCAGCCACCTCCTCCGGCGCGGGAGGGCTGCTGCTCGACCTGAGTGACGAGGAAGGGATGGCTGACCAAGGAAGGAATGGCTGATCACAGGAGCAGCTCCTCCCGGGAGGGGCTGCCGCCGCACCCGTTGGGCTCGCGCGTCGCAGAGTGGGGCCGGTGCGCACGCGGCAGCGCGGAGGGCGCCGCGACGGCGGCGCACAGCTCACACACTCCCGTGAGCAGCGCCGCCCCTCTCTGCAGCACCTGCACCGCAAGGCTCCAAGGCTCAGGCGAGGGACCCGTCTCCCCAAGCCCGGACCCGACCCCATACCCCCCAGAGCACCGCACGCTCGTGCTCTGCCAGCGAAGGACAGAAGGCGCCGCCTCCGTTCCCGCCGACAGC